TGGGAGGCCGAGGTGAGTGGATTGCCTGAGTCTGCAGGTTCGAGACCAGCCCTGGCAACTTGGCGAGACCTCGTCTCTACAATAAATTTTAAAAAAATTAGCTGGGCGTGGTAGCGCATGCCTGTAGTTCCAGCTACTTGGGAGGTTGAGGCGGAAGGATCACCTGAACCCAGGTCAAGGTTGTGGTGGCCGTGAGCGTGCCCCTGCCCTCCAGCCCAGGCAATGGAGTGAGACATCAACTCAAAAAACAAAGTGTATTTATTCTTACATGTTTAAACTTCAGTCACTTTCAAAGTACTCTTCGTTTGATGCAATACACCTATCGAGATGCTTTTTCTATGGCTCAAAACTGTCTTTGGACTCATCAATGATGATGCCTCTTAGTGCTTCTGCATTGGCAAAAACTTTCCCTTTCAGGGCTTTTTCATACAGGGAAACAAACAAACAAAAAAAGTTGCTCAGGGCAAGGACAGGTGAATAGGGAGGGTGGAGCATGGGGGTTGTGACGGTTTTTGGTTAAAAACTGCGGAACACTCAGCACAGTGTGGGCAGGTGTGCTCATAAATCATCTATCATGAAATGGGCAAACACTGAAAATCTTAAAAAAAAAAAAATTCACGGAAGCGGAACTCAGCCTCTCACAACAATGTTAGCTGGAACACTGATGCGGATGGGTTCCTAGAACACTTACCTAGCTAGGGAAGCCTGTACTACAAGGGGACTGCCCCTCAAAAAAATAATTCAATAAGGGTTTTTTTTTTTGTCCTCCCTCATATGTCATCTATGATCTTGTATATATAAAATCATAAAGTACGGTGGCTCAGCCTGTAATCCCGTGCTTTGGGAGGCTGAGGTGAGTGGATTGCCTGAGCCCGCGAGTTCGGGACCCACCTGGGCAACTTGGCGAGACCTCATCTCTACAATAAAAATCAAGAAAAATTAGCCAGGCATGGTAGTGCGCGCCTGTAGTTCCAGCTACTCGGAAGGCTGAGGAGGAAGGATCGCCGGAGCCCAGCAGGTCGAGGCTGCGGTGGCCGGGAGCGGCCACTGCACTCCAGTCTGGGCGACAGAGTGAGACTCCAACTCCAAAAAAAAAAAAATCTACTGAAAATCATTAGAACTAGTGAGCAAGCTTAGCAAAAATACAAAATCATTATGAAAAAATCAATTGTAAAATCTGAAAAGAAAATTTAAAATTCCATGTACAACAGTATTTTTTTAAAAAGACACTTGAGAATAAATTAAACAAAAGAAGTGCAAGACTAGTACACTCAAATTATAAAACACTACTGAAAGAAATTAATGAAGCCCTAAATAGATGAAAAGACATCCTATGTCCATGAATTGAAAGACTTAATATTGCTCAGATCACACCATGCCCCACATTGAGCTACAGTTTCAATGCAGTCCTTGTAAAAATCCCA